AAAAAAAAAAGTAATGTGATCCAGAATTAGTGGTGCATATTGTTTTCTTTCTCAAAGAGTGAAACTTTGTGCTTCTGATGATGGTTTTACTCATAAAATAGACCTTTTTAAAGGCTATGAACTCAGTTCGAAAGGTTTTTCTTTTTCTTTTTCTTTTTCTTTTTTTTGTGCGTGTCTAATTTATAGGAAAATAGAAATGTAAAAATATCTAATGATCACCACGTAATAAATTTAATAAAATTAAAGTATATATTATATGTCAGATTTTTTTTTTGAATAAATTTATAAAGGATCAAATTTAAACTGTTGTCTTGAGAGAAAGAAAATACATTTATATGTGATTTGATGTCACTAAATTTAAAAATCCAAATATATTATATGTCAGATATTTAATTATTGTAATTAAATATTTTGATATTTTAAATGTAAAGATGTAAAATGTCTTAGCTTCTCTTTTTTTTTCCATATCTGTACATCAATGGTAGTCTTACTGGCATATCTTATATGCAAATTGATTGGTGTAAATTATTTTCTGCTGTCTTCCACCTATGGGAAAGTGCTTGTTCTTAATGGTGTAGTTCAGTTGACAGAGAAAGATGAGTGTGCTTACCGAGAAATGATTGCTCATCTTCCACTTTGTTCAATTCCATCTCCCAAAACTGTACATATAATCTGTTTCTATTGCTTTTTAATTATCATTTTCCACTGCTAATAATTTCCATTTGTCTTGCTGACACCATTACTTAATACTTGATCAATAATATTCTACAGAGAAGGCAAAAGGCTGGGAAAAAGGAAATTATAGTCTGCAATTGAATAATCTTGAAATTTACTAGTAGATGTCTTCCTTTTCATTTAAAGATTTTGTACATTGCTGAGAAGAGAGGTCTATCGAATTGCCTTTTTTTTTTTTTCTTGTCAAACTATTATTCTTCCCCGTTTAACATGGCAATTGTTAGTTGTTTGAAATTTGGAGAGGAAATGATATTGCTAAGACTAATAGAAGAAGAAAATAGGATAACATTTTTTAACAGTGTACAATTTGGGAGATGAAAAAATGAAGTTTTTAAAATGGTGATAGAGCTCGAAACTCCAATCACTTCACTTACATTTTAAGATTTGGTGTCGAATCATTGAACTTAAAGATCCTGTTCAAAAAATAGGATAACATTGAATGGGCTAGCATGAATTGTTATGTTAAAAATTTTGGAATACGAGTTGAAGACTATTTGACTGATTTGATGTACATGAACTGATGTTTGCCAATGCTCTATTTTTTTTCCCTAACAGGAACTGCAGTTAGCCTGTTACCAATGAATTTAGCAGTGCCCAAATTTAGGAAATTTAGAGACCTAATGAAAGATTTATAAGAAATTTCATTTTATAGATGTGAAAAACTGTGAGCAGGTCTAAGACTTGTTTTTTTGCTTTAGATTGGTATAAAAATGTAGTTATTCAGATAGAGCTTGTGTTTTAGTACATTGCTAATTTTTTTTGGCTTTGGTACGTAACGGGTCAAACTATTTTGGAACTTTTAAACTGGCATTATTTGTCAGAGGCTTTCTTAATTTTAGTTTTTGTGATGCAGGGTCTGGCTGTTGGTGGTGGTGATGGTGGAGTTCTTAGGGAAATTTCTCGCCATAGTTCCACAGAGCAAATTGAAATTTGTGAAATAGATGAGATGGTCATAGATTTACGTGGTATTTTTTGCAGCATTTTTCTCCTTTATCTATGGGTTCATTCATCTCTGCATGAGCATGTTAAAGAGTCCTTAACATTTTTATTCTATTCCAGGTATCTAAAATTTTTTTTCCAGAACTATCTCTTGGATTGGAGGATCCTCATGTCCAACTACATGTTGGTGATGGTATGTTTACAGTATATCACTTGATATTTTATGTCCAAATATTTGTGTGCTAATTTCACTTGAATGGTCGAACGTATGGTCTCATGACCTTATCTGGGATATTAACAGCTGTTGAATTTCTTCGGCAAGTTCCAGAAGGGAAGTATGACACGGTTATTGTCAATTCTTCAGACCCTGTAGGTATGTTAAAATATCTGGTCCATTGAAATATTTTATTTTTGGTAAGGTTTTGCAAATGTATAGCGTCAAAGCATTTAATAATACTTCAGCCAGAAAAAAGAATCAGCTATGATGGCATGTATGCATCTTTGTATTAATTTGTTGTTCATCAGAAGTAATGTCGTGGATCCACTTGGTAATTAATTT